TTATTGAATTTTATCTTCTGATCCTGAATATTATTACTTATGGTATTCAACTGTTTGTGTTTCTTGGTTTTCATTTCATTATTTAATCACATCCTCTTTCAGTTTATTTTCAGACACCCTTATACATGTTATGTTTTTGCGACAGTATTTTATTCTTTCACTTTCTGGTGTTTGTGTGTACATGTGTGTGCAAGTATGTGTGTGTGCATGTGTGTGTGCGAGTATGTGTGTGTACATGTGTGTGTGTGTGATTTTTGTGCACACATATGCTAGAGAAAGGCATCAGATCAGATCTGGAGCAGGAGACACAGTTGGCTTTGGGCCTTCTTATGTGAGTGTTGTGAAGAAAACCCTGATCCTCTAAAAGAAAAGTACCTGCTCTTAACTGAAGTCATATCTTCCAGTCCCTATTGTTGTTAACTTGAGTTCATTGTCATTGTGTCATCCAATTGGTTTTCTCAAAGAACATTAGTATAGGACTACTAATTATGGTGGAGACATATCCATCATATTGATTTTTTATGTATGTATTTTTTCAAGAGGACCTGGGCATTGGAGTTAGATCAGGGGTTGTAAATTTGGTAAGGGTTTCTGTCTCATCTTTGTCTAGTGGGCATTTTCATCAATATCTACTGGTACCTGAACTTTGCTGGTATTGGGATAGCTGGATTGTGTGTCAGATACATTCTTGGAGATACTTAGTGCTAATGCGCAATTGTGGTATCAAAAATTGTCTGAGCTCAAACAGAGCAAGGTAAAGCTTCTTTTTGCACAAATGAAATCTCTTCATAGAAAAAAGTTGTCACTACCACTCACTCTGGCTTGAACCTGTGCTTTCATTATTTGTGATGTCATATCTTAATAAATTTATATGTGCTCAATTTTATCTGGAGGTCACTTCCGTTGGTATCATCCATCCCTTCTCATTCTTAAAAGTTTTCCATCCCTCTTCTGCATAACTTCCTGAGCCTTGTGGAGAGTGGATGATGAAGACATTCCATTAAGGACTAAGTACTTCAATCTCTCAGATTCTGCTAATTTCCTTTTGTAAATCTCTCTTTATTTCCTATCTATTTCAAGAGGTTCTCTTATTATAGGTGAGGAAGACACTGAACTAAGTGTAGAGAAGGATGGTCTTTGGAGTCATTCAGTGCTGAGAGAGGGAAGTGGACAAGAGTTCTCTCTCCTAACCATGATGCTATCTCCAACTGACATTGTTTGCAAGGGAAAACTCAGTTTTATTCAATGGAGACTCATAGGGTAACACTTAGAGATATGCACTATATATACCCAGCATCAAATGACCAATACAAACCAATCTCAATGGTATTTTTTAGACATTTGATATCATATTTCTTTGTTTTGCTTTTTTTCTTTGTGCCTTGTAGTATTTGCCTCTATATATGGTTTCCATATTATGTTTTTATGGGTTTTATTTTTGTGGGTGTATGTATGTATGTATTTCTTGTATTTTTTTCTTTTACATTTTGTGTATTTGATTGTCCTCTTTGTTTAGTGTTTGTTTGCTTTCTAAAGAGAAAAATGTAGAAATTGCATGAAGTCTAGTGTGTAGGGTTGTTTGAGGATTTGGTAGATGTTGGGGTAGAGAAAATCATGATCAGGATATATTTATGAAACTATATTTTCAGTTAAAACATGTCACTACAGTTGCTTTGAAGCTAAGGTTGAAAGGTAAAAGAAAGAAGAAGGTGTAAGTGATCAGTGGGGCACACAAAGTGTCAGCCAGCTCAGTACTTCAGATGACTCTCTCAGTGTCTCAGTGAGGAGCATGCGCAGAGTGCACCTTTGTGGTATGCAGTAGACTCAGAAGCTAGTCCTCATGCAGTCAATAATTGAGGATCCAGGGTTGGGATTGGGAAATGCTACCATGCATGCAGATTCTCAAATGGCAGGGGTCTTAGATTGTGAAGAGGTGGGAATATATACCTAATTAATTTTTTAAAGATGAGTCCTGTTGTGTAACATGTGATCAATCCTGGAGAGTGTTTTACACGCCTTTGGAAAAATGTGCATACTACACTTGTTAGCTAGCATGCTATGCATGTGTCTGACAGGATCAATTACTTAAGTTCATTAGTAATGCCAAGTGGGTCATTTTGGTTTTACATGTTGGTGAAGTAGTACAATTTTGAAGATCAGGACATTGTGTATAACATATTATTCATGTCTAGGGTTGTGCTGTGTTTCTGTCTGTCTAATCAATCCACATTTAAAATAGAGGTATGAGGATTCTAGTGGGTAATATACCTGAGTTTATTTTTTTGTCAGGTCTATGTATATGTTTCTTACATTAAGTATGTTAAACACAAACCTAACTGTTACATATATTTAGAGAGTTGGTTTTTATCATTACACAATGACCTTCATTTTCTTTTATTAGCTTTTTGTTTCAAGTTCTATTTTGTCTGATGTGAGTCACAATCATGCTGTCCTTTGCTTCACATATCCGTGGACTGTATTTTTTATTCCTCTGCTATAGTCTCAGTGTGGTTTCTCCATAACATTTACATGTGTTCCACATCACATTCATGATGATAAAGATAGTGGTTTTTAATTATAACTGGATTAATAGGTTCTTTTTTCATTAACATATTTACTTCCAATACAAAGAAATCAGAGAGTGTTTCCTTGCCAAAATGCCACTAGGCAGAAGCATTCAGGAAAGAGAAAGCAAAGCCTGACACCAAATCTTATGCCATCATCTTAGATATCTTGTGTCTTAGGTTCTAAAATTTAGAAATTCATGACATGAGTGCCTTTTAAGCTAACACATATAGTTTATGCTAATTTGTTACAGTGGTGCTGACAGGCAATTATCTTCAAAAGTGTTCAAGTTAAACACAATTACTTTTGTTTATTGTTTTTACTAGTAATAGTAAAACATTTCCTTGATATTTGAATAATTGGTCTGGCAACTCTCCAATTTCATATAATAGAAGGTTTTAAGATATCTGCTCAAACTTGGAATTGTTAATTACACCTATATTTTCATGTTAAAGACTCAAAATATTTTGAAAGTTAAAAATATCATTAGACATTTCTTTCTTAAAATAATATTTTATGGCTAAAAGCCTATTATGATAATGGTACAGTTGTCGAAAAATAAGGATAAACCTTAATTTTCCTCAGTGTACACTGGAATTACAACCTTACTAGCAATGATACACTGAAAACAATGTAATTTTAAATCCGTTTAAATGCCCAATGTTTTATTAATCAAAGTAAACCAATATGAGGCTTTTGAAATGTCGTCTGATGAGGGAGCAGGAAGGTTGAATCAAGGGAAGAATAGAGGAGAGCAAGATAAGAGATACTATAATATAGGGAGCCATTATAGTTCTAAAGAGAAATCTGGTACTAGGGAAATGTCCGGAGATCTACAAGGATGACCCCAACTAATAATCTAAGTAATAATGGAGAGGCTACCTTAAATGGCCTCCCCTGATAATGAGATTGATGACTATGCTATATGCCATCCTACAGCCTTCATCCAGCAGCCAATGGAAGTAGAAGCAGACATCCACAGCTAAACACTGAACTGAACTCTTGGAATCCAGTTGCAGAGAGGGAGGAGTGATGAGAAAAGGGGTCAAGACCAGGCTGGTGAAATCCAGAGAAACAGCTGACCTGAACAAGGGGGAGCTCATGGATTCCAGAATGATAACTGGGAAACTAGCATAGGACTGATCCAGACACCCTGAATGTGCTTGTCAGTAAGGAGGCCTCAGCAATCTATGCAGCCTCTTGTAGTAGATCAGTATTTATCCCTTGCATGTGAATGGGAATTGGAGGCCCATTCCACATAGAGGGATACTCTCTCAGCCTAGATACATGGGGGAGGGCCTAGGCCCTCCTCCAAAGGATATGACAGACTTTGAAGATCCCCCATGGAAGGCCTTACCCTCCCTGAGGAGCAGAATGGGGATAGGATAGGGAATTAGTGGGTGGGGAGGGAGAGGGAACTGGGATTGACATGTAAAAGACTCTTGTTTATAATTTAAATAGAAAAATAGAAAAAAAACAGAAAAAGAAGGAAAAAAGAATTGTTTTCTGGTTATCTGTTATCTGGTTATCCTATCAAAGTAGGAACTATGGTGAGTTACTCCTGCCAATTTTCACAGTGTCATATTAAATATAGAGACCCTAGGAATAAAGATAAAATGTTAGCAGTATTTGATGGACAATTTTCACTTTTTTGCTATCATAAAGTTAGTAAGTCATAACAATCCACTGCAAATTATAAATTGTCTTTAAAGTTATTAAACAGCAAGTAAATACTATTACCTCTGATGATAAATACAGTAGTTAATTTTATTAATTTGATTCTATTTGTTGTTAATTTCCTTTTTAATTTGGGCACAAAGTATGTATATGCTTATTGCCTGTTTACCAGTTATGCAGAGTATTTACAGGTTTGTGACAGTGATATAATCCTATTCACAGTTAAGATTTAATTCATTTGTATAATTACTTTAATATTTCAATGTGTCAAATTAACATATTCAGAAGTTCATGCATAAAATGTTCCCTAAGTTTATTTACTAATACAATAGTAGTATATAGCAATTACTTACATTCATTACTTATGTTAAATATGACAGTTTGATTATTACATATTTGTGAAATATTACTAATTTTAAGGTGAAGCAATGTCTTCCATCCATCTTTAATCAAAGTCTTAGATCAAAACTTATGGAGGAAAGTTGGAGAGATTTTGAAAAGTGGTGGGTAGACACAGACAATGAAGTAATTTTGTCCGATTTCTTGCCATTTTTTATTGTTCTAGGACATCACACATTCTCCTTTAGGAGTTTTGAATGCACTGTTTTTGCATTTGTGGCAGTGGTTTCTCAGGCTCCAAATTAATCACAAAATATCAATGCAAGCTTATACTTGTGAGAAGAAATGAATTAAACAATACTTCAAAGATAAATTGAAATTGTATTAGTAATATGCAATGCATATTTCTAAACAAACGTCTATTCATCTTTTGAACTAATATGTATTTTTAAGCAGCTGGGATAATCGATGTGACCATCAATGCACATTGTACGGAATGGAGGTGATGGATTTGCCTTTTTATATCCAGATTTACATGTAAATTCAACATTGGCCCCTGATTGGAGATAAAGCTTTTGGCTTTCTATCCACCTTAAAATTATATTATGTTTCTTCATGATCTCCTCTGATATTACACATGCATCTGAAAGAAAAATTACCAAAAGGTGATTAATATATAAACCTACAGCAATTCAGCTTTCAAGCATTATTCCTCAAAGTTTATAAAAACCTATATTAAACCAGCACATAGAATTAGTTCATCATATTGAATAGCAACTGGTGACAAAATAATGTTTTTGATGTGATAATTAGATTTCAACAAGGATTACTGATATCATGAAAGAAGATACTTAGATTTCAGGACATTTATGGCTGTTTGCATTGATTTTTATAGCACAATACATAAAAGGACCCAGAGACAGATATTGGGGCTCAAGCTTCAAGCTGAAGATCACAAAAGCAAAGCAGTTGGTCACTAGCTCTTACTCTACCTCAGAATGAAGGGCAAGCCTGGCTCCAGCAAATCTCAGACTATAGCCTCTCCTCAGCCTGTCTGGAGAATCCTGAGACTTTAACATCTTTTTATCCTAAATGTGACTGGTGAATGAATGCCTGATACTGACTACTGAAGACCCTGTTCCTATCTTTTATACCCTTCTAGTTCTGGGATTAAAGGCGTGTGGTCCCAGGTGCTGAGATCATTTTTGTGTGAGCTGTTTCTCTTTATGACTGGATCATTCTGTGTAAATTTGGGTGGTCTTGGACTCACAGAGATTTGTCTACCTCTTAAATATTGAGACCTGAGATTAAAGGTATGTCCCACCACTTCCTAGCTCAATGGCTGCTGGATTAAAGGAGTGTATCACCATTGCCTAACCTCTATAGCTTGTGCCTGACTTTGCTTTCTGAAACCTCGGGCATCTTTAATAAATCATAAATTTAGGTATTGGAAAAAGGTTAAGAATTTGAACCTTGACATGTATATGATATTCAGAACTGATATTCAGTGAGATGCATATACTTAAAAATAATGGAATTAGTAAGCCAAATCATAACTACCTTCAAAATGTCCATCATTTACCCACAGATTTGTAACTATGAATAGTGTTTACTTATTATGAATTTGATTTTCATAGTTTTAGAAATAAGTCTATCAAAATACCACACTTGATAAGTGACAATCCTGCTGGAAAACAGCTTCTGCAACCACTACTCTGGCCCCTGGACTTCTTTACATTGCTAAAAAAACAAGAGGACATAATATCCAATTCATGCTGTCTGCAACCAATTAATTTAGTGGTGACATCCTGTTTCACAACTCATGTGTTCATTCAGTTCTGTAAAGGCTAGAACTAACTGATACAGAGTGGGTGCCAAATTTCCATAACCACATCTCCCATTGCAGGATCTGGTCTCATGCCATCGTTTAGTCAGAGAAGAATCCTACTGACCTCTCTCTGAGATGGGTTCCAGGAACAACAGTCCTTGAGAGTAGCAGATTTACCAACCAGTTACTGAGAAAGACTGCATCTTCTATCAGCTACCACAGCCACTGTAGGAATCTTGGCACAACACTCACTCTGTACCTTATGATGTCTACCATACACCTGAGCTGATAAGTGTCCTCATTTAAGCATAATTCACAGAAACCATGGTTCAAGTTGTGTCCAAAGGTGTTAATTATAGACAAATAACCCCTAGGTTCTACATGGAATTAACTCCAGAATTGTTGTCCAAGATGCATCCCCAGTAGAGAACTTCCTCTTAGAAAGTCTCCATAAGACACATCAATAAAAGGAGCCACTATAGGTTTAAAGACAAATCTGGCACTAGAGAATTATGTAGAGATCTACAAGGATAATCCCAACTAGGAATCTAAGCAATAATGGAGAGGCTACCTTAAATGCTCTTCCCCTATAATGAGAATTATGACTACTTTAAATGCCATCCTAGAGCCTTCATATAGTAGCTGATTGATGAGGAATGTTATTCGGTGTATATAATTGTCTTATAGGTTGATTAACAAAACACTAATTGGTCAGGCAGGATGATAGGTAGGACTAGGAGACAAGGATGATTCTGGGAAGTGTAGGCAGAGAGGAGTTGTCATGTGACCCAGGAAGTGACATAGCTGGGCAGAATCAGAATACAAGCAGGGACAAACAGGAAATTTCTCTCTTCCCTTCCCTTCCCTTCCCTTCCCTTCCCTTCCCTTCCCTTCCCTTCCCTTCCCTTCCCTTCTCTTCTCTTCTCTTCTCTTCTCTTCTCTTCTCTGTGGACATGTTGAGCAGTCAACATATAGGATACCAGAGGAGTAATAGGTACCTGGACCTTTCTCCGGTCAGACAAGACCACAGGGAAGACTTAGATTAATAGAAATGGGGTTAATAGTTAAGACTGAGGTAGCTAATAAGAAACCCTAGTCATTGGCCAACAATTTCATAGTTATATTAGTCTTGCGTGTTCATTTGGGGCTGACGCAGCTCTAAGAGCAGACTGGTGGGAAAAATGCTTATTACAGCTTATGGGAGCAGAAACAGAAATCCACATCTAAGCACTGAGCAAAATTCCTGGAATTCAGGTTTAGAGAGGGAGGAGTGATAAACAAAGGAGTCAAGACCTTGCTTGGAAAACACACAGAAACAGCTGACCTGAGCAAGTGGGAATTCATAGATCCCAGTCTGGCAGATGTGGAACCAACATAGGACCAAACCAGTCCCCCTGAATGTGGGTGTCAGCTAGGAACACTGGCCAGTCTATGGGACTTTTGGAAGTGGAACAAGGATGTATCCCTAGTGCACGAAAGGACTTTGGGAGCATATTTTACAGGGAAAGACACACTCTTAGCCTGGATACACAGGGAAGGGCCTAGGCTCTGCCCCAAATGACTTGACAGCTTTTGATGATCCTTTATGAAAGGCCTCACCCTCCCTGGGGAGTGGATGGGGATGGGATAGGGGGGTCAGTGGGGAGCACAGGAGGATGGAAAGGATAGGGAACTGGGAGTGATATGTAAAAAAAGATTTTTTCTAATTTAAATAAATTTATAACAAAATAAAAAGAAAGTCTCCATAAATATAGTGTAGAAAAAGTCAATCCAGCAGAAGCACACAAACACACACACACACACAAACCAACACAGGAAATATGAAAAAAATGAAGGCAACAATACTCATTCAAAGTTCTAGTACTCCTCCCATAACAGACTCTAAATGTACTGTCATGAATAAAGGTCAGTTGAATTTTTTAAAATCATTTTAAAACATAATTAGTTCTGAGGGAACATAGAAAAATAATTAAAGAAGTAAAAAAAGACAATGCAGACTATAAATAAAAAAGATCTGTGGACAAGATACAGTTTGAAATAGATTTAGACCTAAAAATTGGAAACTAACAGCTGTGAATGTTAAATAAAAATGAGTCTGAAAATGTCACTAGGAGCAAAATCCTGACCACTCCAAATGGCAATTCCAGCTCTTTAGAAATTCATTGAGATGTATTATTGGATTTAACCAACCAACAAACCAACCAAAAATAAATTCTTAAAGTGTAAAAGTGGAATGAATATATATCTAACATAGCCAGCTCAATAAAATGCTCTAGAAAGAGCAACATTCAAAAATGAAATATTGCTACCAATATCAAATATTAAGTACTTATAATTCCCACTAGAACAGAAGATATAAAAATAAGTATTGGGTAGAGTCAAATACATGTGCAAAAGGTCTCTTAAAAGTTGTTTTAGCATGCTTGAATAGTTTTCATATTTGCTGTAGAACACACAAAACAAAATTTTTGAACAGCAAACTCTTCCAAATGCCTGAATTAATGAATATGCATTGGAGATAAGTTAAGAAGAATGCTTACTTATTTTGTTGTTTATTACTAATTATTTTCTCCATCATCTTTTTATGCATAATGTACCACTATAAGATATACTTTTTTAGTTTTCAAGGACTTTGTATGACTTCTTGAGGGGAGATAAGACTGCCCTGTGCACGTTGGATATTTGGGGCTATGGGTGGGATAATGACACAAATGGGGGGGTCTACAATTTGGATGGAAGTACAATAGAATAATTAAAGAACTGGAACTTGAGCAGCAAGAATGAAGCAGCAGATATCATTATACTTTATTTCACATACAAGAGGAGACCCACAGTAACCGTGACATTGGGATGAACAGTCCAATGAATGGGAAAAGAGCTTTGAAAAGTTGATGTATATATGTATAGTTCATAGATAATACTAGTTTCCAAAACGTATGTCAGAGAACTGACAGCATATTCAATAAGGGGTAAAAAGATAACTAATATCAAATGGACATGGTTAAATTTGACTCCTGTCTATCACTTTTTCCAATAATCAATTCAAAGTGGATCAAAGACATAAATGTGAGAACTGAAACACTGAACTTGTAAGGGAAAAAAACTGGTAATACTTCACTGGTTTTGGACACTGATTTTTGGCTGGAATCCCAAAACATAAGATACAAAAGCAAACATTTAGCAATGGAGTATATCACAATGAAATACTTGTATATAGCAGAGAACATAATTAATACAATTAAGGAGTTACAGCTGTAGACTTGGGAAAATTATTTTCAGTTATTGCAATAGCTTTACCTATGTTTTATAAAGGATTTCATATGTCTAGAGTAAATATAGAATTGAAAATACTTTTAAAAAATAAGCAACCCAAAACTGGGTAATATGAACAGACACTTATCAAAAGCATAAATATATATGCTAGTCGGGGGAATAAGTTTCTTAATATCATTAACTATCATTTTACTGCCAAACATAGCTTCAATGAGATACTTTATCACCTTTGTATGGCATTACAGAAAAAAGCCTTAAAAATTGCAAATCCTGATGAGTGTGTAATGGAAAAGGAACTTGAAAGCTGTTGATGGGAATGTGAGTTTGTCAGTTACTATAGAGAACAAGATTCAGATTTCATAAAAAATATCTAAACTAGATCTTCCATATACTATCGCTGTATCCCTCTGTTGATAGGTACCAAGAGGAAATGAAAACAACCTATTGAACCTGCATGTATACTTTTATTGGTATGTCAAGTAGCTAAGATGGAAAAACAGTCTGGGTGCCCATCAAGGGAAGAATTTGTAAAGACAATGTGGTATGATTATGTATGAAATATTTTCAGACATTATAGATTTTTGTATTATTTAATGAGAAAAAGGCATTGAAGAACATTAGGATAAATGCACCAAACACAGGGAAAAAGTCCCTGCTGTTCTTTCTCACATAGTGGAAAGAAAAACTAACATTCTCTTGAATGCTGACAGTGATTAATACAAGTTAGATGATTTATCTCAGAAAAGGATAGATTATATAAGGAGATTGGATTTAATGATTTTGAGGTGTATGCAGGTGTGGTGATTTGAATAAGAATGGCCTCTGTACTGTCTGGTTTGAATGTCAACTTGACACTTGACACAAGCTGGAGTCATTAGAGAAGGAGCCTCAGCTGAGGCAATGACTCCATGAGATCCAGCTGTAAGTCATTTTCTCAATTAGTGATCAATGGGGGAGGGGCCAGCTAAGGGTAGGTGGTGCCATCTCTAGGCTGGCAGTCCTGGGTTCTAAAAGAAAGCAGGCTTAGCACACCATGAAACCAAGCAAGTAAGCAGCACCCTTTAATGGTCTCTCCATCAGTTCCTACTTCCAGGATCCTGTCCTGTTTGAGTTCCTGTCCTGACTAGCTTTGATTGTAAGCAGCAGTATGGAAATGTAAGCCAAATAGATGCTTTTCTCCCAATTTGTTTTTGGTCATGATATTTAGTTGAGCCAATAGAAACCCTAAGTAAGACAGATCCCATAGTTTCATATATTGCTTATTCATGAAGAAATGTTATTCCTTGAAAATGATTGGGGCTGTGGCCTTGTTGGACTAGGTGTGCCGTTGTTAGAAGTGTGTCTCTGGGCATAGGCTTCAAGGTTTCAAAAGCCCAAGTGAGTCCCAGTGTCTTCAGCCTCCTCTATTTTCAGAGCCAGATCTATAACTCTCAGATATTTCCCTGCCATCCTGTCTGCCTGTGTGCCACCATGCTTCCCCCATGATTATAACAGTCTTTACCTGTGAAGCTATAAACAATCCTTAATTAAATGCTTCATTTTGTAAGAGTTGCCACTGTCGCTCGCAAGTCTTCACAGCAATTGAGCACTGACTTAGACAACATGTGTGGAAATATCATGCTGGCACCAAGTTTTATGGACATCAATACATGTAAGTAAAAACTCAATAATAAAAAGATCATGCATAATTTTGTTTGTCTACTCTATTATACAAAAATTAAAATAATAATCTTACTTTACTTGCACTTTGATATTTGAAAATCAAGCAGTAAGCAAAAGAGTGCTTTTAATCTGTGAATGTTCTATTATTAACAGTAAAATATCTGTATCATGAAACAGAATCTCCTATGGCCTATGAGAATGAGGTACTTACGTAAACATTTTGGTGGTTCAGACCACTCTCCATCTATACATGTTATTGTCTTGTTGCCCTGCAGTTGGTACAAGGACTGGCACTGATAATCAACTGAAGATGATGGTTCGTATACTGGTAATGGGAAGGAGGTTATGTCTCCATTGTCAATAGGTGGAGGAGGCCCACATTTCCCTGTTGAGTCTAAGAACACAATGTTTGATGTTTGAGAGATCAAATCAAAGTACAGGCTTAAAGCGAATCAGTGAAAATACAGTGATAAACAAGTCTTTAGTGATTTATGGCTGCAGAAATGACTACTTGAAGATATTTCAATCATATACCTGAGAGTTACAAGTTCTTCCTTTCTTCTCACCTAGAGAACTTACTGAAGTAGAGAAAGCATGTATGCTCTGAAGCCTTCCAATGGTAGTAAATGTATTTAACAGCTTCTAACATACAGAGGCCAAGGTAGACAGGCAAGATTGCTCTGTTTTCAAGAAACTGGATTATTATTTCTCTATATATTCCTGATCTTCATCAGTTTGTAGAAACACACATTTATAGACAAGAAATTAAATCTTATAAAGTTACAAAACAAATTAGGCTTTCTCGTTTCCTAATATTGGCAAAGTATGTACAGGTATACATTTGCTAAATACAACTGGAATTCTTGGACATTATATATTTAATATACAATATAAGAAGAGAGAAGGCTTTATACCACTTTTTTCTCTTTTGGACTGCAGATTGTTCTTCTGAGACTACAGGAAATGACTGAAATCAAATATTGATAAAATTGTCTCTTGAGTAAGACATCCAAAGGAGCATCATGAAACTGAACAGTACTCCAATGATGCTTAGAAGAAAAGTAAACTGTTCAAGATCCAAATACGATGTTTTATTGTGAAGGAAAATGAAAAAGTTTGGCATGAGGCGTGAGTATGCATATTTATGAATTGAATAAACTCAAACAGGACAAGTCCCATGAAGTTCATGCAAATGCTTGTATTGAAACTGCCTAAAGAAGACATCTGGGGAAAACAACAAAGAAATCGTCACCAGCCTCACTGGATCAAGATCCAAAGAAATTGACTTTGCATCTGCCACCATGGAAGCCATGGGAGGTGAAAGAAAATGGGAGTCAGCCTTTAATTCTAGGTTCTGTGGTGCTGGTCTTTCCAATAAGGCCATTAAGGAAGACTATCAGATAAAGGAGGATGAAGAGGGATTATCTCTAACACTGAATTCTTCGGAAAGAATAACTACCTGAATTTGTTACAGAAACAAAAAAAATAGAAATTAAGACTTTAAGACAAAATTAAATGAGGGGTATATATAGATGACCTTTCTGCTCACAAAATTATGTTTGTGGTGAATTCTAACATTTCAGAATTGTGCTCAATAACAGCAAATGCTAAATAAATCTTTATTTGCAACATGGGAAGTGGGAAATATAAATGGACTTTAAAGGTAAGTACAGTTTCCACATTCCATCAAAGTATAAAATATCAACAACAATACAGGATGACACTCACATACAAAAATGCCTAATGTGGATTCAATAACAAGTGGTTAGGAAATTATTAGAGATAACATAATCAAATAAAATATGCATGCCAAAAATGAGATTACTGAGAAGTATTTCTCCTAAGTAAGAGAAATAAAGAAATGACAGATAAACATAAAGAATACACAAATTAATAAACAAACAGATGTTTCGAACATACCAGTAACTGTTTCACATGAAATGATCTGAATACAGAGAGTTGAGTGGTACACTAGACAGTTGAAGTTTCTTTATTCATATGACATAAATCTGTGCATCAAAAGTATATCGTTTATTTTCAATAGTAAGTGACCAATTAAAGTAATTTGGGAATTTTCTGTGCTTATTAAATGAAGTCTCATCATGCACTCAGAAAATTCCAATATTTTTAATTCGGTTTATAAGAGATAAGGAAATCCCATAGGACCTCCCCCCTTGGCATCTGTGGCAGGCAGGTAACCGGCCCTTGGGTCTTGGGAGTGGGAAAGCTGGCCTTGTCCCTCAGAGGCTGCTGCACTTAAGAGAGTGGGCCCTGTATCTCACCTGGGCAACACAGTAGAGTTGGCACTGGAGGTGTGGGGACCACACCAGTGATCTGTCCCTGAGGGAGTGAGAGGAGAACTGGCCCCCAATCCGTGCTGCCTACTTAATTAGGTGAGCTAACTGAGGCAGTGCTGGAGAGCTCTCCTTGGTGGGTGAGAATAAAGGAGAGATGGCTATCTGACCAACCCAGCTACCACCAGGGCTATAAGATCCACACCAGCCTCCACCCCATCTATGAACTGTTGGAGCACACATGAAGGAGCCAGTCCTGCAGATACAAAGCTGCAGGATCTCCACGACATAGAGAAACAACAGAGTATCTTAGAGAAGTTCCAGTGAGAGACCAGTATCAAGTGTGCAGAAGAAGCCACAGGTTGTGAACTAGACCAATGCAATGAACCAGACTCATTGCAATGAGCACTTGCAAGTAAATGTTTCTCATAAGAATCACTTCACCATGTTTTCTCTAATGTACAGAAGCAAAATTACATTATCAAATAAATATTGGGAAATATGATGACCTACCTTTGCATTTTGGTGGTTCTGTCCAAATCCCATTAAGACACATCACTTCTACTTCCCCAAATATTTCAAAAGGTTTATTACATTCATACCGTACTCTCTCATTGGATGGATATTTAGTCATGGGTCTTGTTACAATTCTAGCTTTTTCCACATGTGGTGGATCCCCACAGGAATTATCTAAAGAGAAAAAGAAAGTATTACTACCTATTTGTTAATCTTTAGTATTTAATTAACACATAAGATTCCAAATATATTTCTCAACTTATGAATGGATAAAGAAAATGTGGTATGTTTGCACAGACACACAGACACACACATTCACACACATATACACACACACAAAGAAATCATGAAATTCACAGGTAAATGGATGGAACTAGAAAGAAAATCACTGTAGATAGCCAGGGACCTAATACTACTGTGAAACAAATACTTCTCATAAAAACAAAACCCATAGCAATAAATGGAATCCACATGACATTCTTTTACACTCATTGATTCGTGACTTACTCAGCTGTAATCAGAGAAGCTTGTCCTGCAGGGATAGGAACAAATACAGATATCCAAATCTATATATTATGTACAGACATTGGAACACTCAACCCTAAATGGAATGTCTCCATCCAATGCCTTCCCACATGGCTCAAGGATGCACACAAAAGAGGAGACTACAGGAAGAGTTTAAGGACCAGAAAGGCTAGTGGACACCATTAAAACACGATTCTGTAAATGAACAAGATTGATGTACACAGGAACTCACAGAGACTGAGGCAGCATGCACTTGACTTTGACCAATCTGCACCAGATGGGGTCTAGAGCTGAAAGAAGAAGTTGACATATGCCACCACCTCTAACCCAGAAGCACTCTCCAATTGATAACTACTTGCAGATGAAAATTTAGAGTTCAGCAGGGAAGAATTACATGAGAAAAAAGTATTCTAAGCGTTGGCTGCCTAAAGCAAACTCAAAGACCTTTGGAGGTTCTTGGCCTCATAATGTCATTTTAGGGCTTTCCTTTTTTTCTTTTTGAATTAAAATTTATTTTTATTTTGTTTTTGTTTTATTTTATTTATTGTTTTCTTTTTTGTTCTCTTTGGTTTTTTCTTTTTCTTTAATTAGAAACCATCTGGTTTTATATGTCAATTCCAGTTTCCTCTCCCTCCCCTCCTTCTCTGCCCCTCATTAACCCTCTATCCCATCGCCTTTGTGCTCCCCAGTGAGGGAGAGACCTTCCTTGGGGGATCTTCAAAGTCTGTCATATCATTTGGAGCAAGGCGTAGACCCTCCCCTGTGTGTCTAAGCTGAGAAAATACCCCTCTATGTGGAATGGGCTCCCAAAGTTCATTCATGTACTAGGGATAAATACTGATCCACTACCAGAGGCTCCATATATTAACCAGATCTCCAAACTGACATCCGCATTCAAGAGGTCTGGGTCAGTCCTATGCTGGTTTCCCAGCTATCATTCTGGGGGTCTCTGAGGTCCCCCTTGTTCAGGGCAGCTGTTTCTGTGGGTTTTTCCAGCCTGGTGTTCACCACCTATAGAGTAAAAAGAGAGATATTTATTGTTTTCTCCCTTTTTACTCTATAGATCTTTGGAATATATATTGTGGTTTCCAGTTTATTGCTTTTCTGGTTGAATTTGTGAGTGAGTGGTGCTTTATGTCTATATCAGTTCCTTGGGTCTTTTCTTCAGCTCTTTTCCATCAGATTGTTTTGCCTCATTACAATGTGTTTGTTTTGTCTTATTATTATTCCTTAGACGTCTGTTTCTTTTCTAATAAAAGACTGAAAGGGGATGGATGCAATTGGGACAGGAGGTGGGGAGGAACTGGAAGAAGTAGAAGAAGAAGGAAATATAATGTGTTTATGCGAGAAAAAATCTATTTTCAATATAAAGAGGAAAATTTGTCACTGTGACCCTCTGGCCAGCCCCAAATGCTGGTGCATTTATTTGTACTACATTTTGCTCATTTTGCATGATACTGTAACTTCTGTAAACTCAGTTAGGTTTCACTAGCTGACATTCTGTAGGGAGAGAACTTAGTCACCTGCACCACTGACCATGCTTGCTTGGGTGTGGTCACAATTAAGTAGTAGGGAAGGAATATAAGACCTTTGGAAAAGGAGGAGCACATCTACGGTTCAAGTTCCTGCTCAGGCACCAAGGAGCCAATTGATGTAAGACAGAAGAAAACAAAATCTAAGGACTTTCATCTTTTTATACTCGGTTCTTTCTCTGAAAGTCTGATTTCCCTCATATTTATTATCTTCTAATTATTGCATTTCCTGGTGTGCATACCTATAAAAGTTGAGATTTCTTTGTTGACATTAACGTTTGAGTTTTCCACAGATGACAAAGAATTTCCTAACAGCACTCTTCTAAAATGTCAAAAAGAATATGGGTTGGAAAATAGTTTTAGAAGGTCCTATAACACTTTTTATTTAATAAATTAAACTTAGCAGGAAAATGTTAATTGTAATGATTTAATAAATGTTTTCTTCATCTGATCTGTTTTTGTACATAGCAAGAACCAAAAGGTACTTATTTTATGATAAAATTCAAGAACTACCAAATCAGTTAGTGAAGAGCACTGAGAACCTAGCACATAATCAGTCATATGGCCTGTTGAAAATTTTTCAAATAGGTACTAAGTCTGACTAGAGTGTGACAAAATAAAGTCCATTTACTAAGTGTTTTCTTGATACTTTGAAATCATATTGTTTTCTGGTAGAAGCCATGTATCCATCTGTGCATGTGTGTTAATCTGCATGGAAACCTGAGTTAGGAATGGAGAAGTTACAAGTTGAGTAATAAAATATTGGTACATATTTTGTACAAAAAAAGAATGAAAGTAAAACTATACTTATGCAGTCTGGTGGCTGGGACCACTTTCCTCCTAAACATTTAATAAATGCTGGTCCATCAATTCCAAATCCTTCAGAACAACTGTATTTCACCTCTTCCCCATGTTGGTAAATGTCTAGTTCATGAGACACAATCCCATGAAGGATGGAAGGTGGAGGTCCACAAGGAAGTCCTGAAAATAACACAATGAGAGGAACAGAGTGAAATTATTCAGAAACTTGCTTGTGTGTGATTTTCTGTTAACAAGCAAAATGTGCCTTCGCAGACTAGGTGAGCAGAGCTTCCTAAGACAACCTTCCATTGCTCTGCGTCTGTTAAACTGCTTCAGCACTGAGCAAGGCCTTGACATCCAAATGTCTGACAAACTATGAGTGACAAAAAGAATAAAAACACAAAGAAAAAATAATTTCAGGAAACACACCATCATATACTGCAGGTGCAGTACTTTGTTAGAAAAAGACACTGAGCTAAAAACCTTATGGCAAATCAAAAACTACAACTTGAATAAGCAAGTTAAGTCAGTCGACTATGCATCATATTCCAAAACAGAAAGGCAAGAGTTAAAGATTTAAAGACAAGCAATACAATTAATATGAGCAGTAAATACTGGACTGTGCAAACAGTAACTTGTTGATAATAAATAAAGACAATTATCTGTGCCAATCTAAATAATGCTTTCTCCTGATTTTGATGAGAGCAGATAATTGGTAAAGACTTTTTCCAAAACCAAAATTGAATTTTCATGCTGTTCTCACCGACACAATGAGGTGGAGAGCTCCACTTTCCCATGTGGCAGGTTACCCCATGATCCTCAGCCATCCTAAAACCATCATCACAAACATAACTGAGTGTAGTGCCATGGTCATAACTTCTGGATTCAACTGTGTGTCTCCTATCTGCTGACGATTTGGGAAATTTAATAGATCCGTGGTCTACTTCAGGGGGTTGGGAACATGGAATTTTTGCTATATGAAGAACAGAAATGAATTACTGAAGCATAGATAAGATGTGTATATTGGAAAATAAAAATAAACTGAATTACATCTCCATAATTTTTAGGTTAATCCCTAGTATTTAAACCCCCCTCCCACTTGAATTCTCCTCAGTATTCCAAGAAATAATGTTGTAAAACAAGCCATTGCTACTGACCGATGCATTGTGGCAATGACTGCCACCTTCCATCTCTGCACACCATTTCTTCTGTGTCCTGTATTAGGTAATTGTCTTGACAAAGAACAGATACTTTTTCTCCATCCAAATATTTCACTGTGGTTTCTATCACTTGGGCATTTGGAATCTGTGGTGGAGGAGGGCAGGATTCTTTCTCTACTCGTAAAAAACATTTGAAATCAGAGCTATTGACTAAAGAATGTATCTTCATTAATTGAGGTAATTATGTCAATGTAATATTTGTATACTTTATACTTTTGGAAAGTATTGTCTAAGTAACTATAAAGTCGAGACATCTCATATTCCTCTTTCAGATTAATAACATGAAAGTGTTCTTTATTAATAGTTATTACTACTAATTTTTCTTCTGTTTCTGCTGGCAGAGTAGAATAACTAGAAAGGTATTAATACATGTAGTAAATGCATTTTCTACATTATTTTAACAATTAGTCAGCAATACAGGAAGGAGAAAGAATTACCACTTTACTTCACCCTATTAACAAAACAATATCAGAAATAATAACACCAGAGGCAACTACAAAACAACATATCTACTTCATGAAAATGTGTGCAATTAGTTGATTTTGTCTTGGGAATACTTTCTGTGAATTTTAGTCTTTTTTTTTTTTGGTTTTACGAGACAGGGTTTCTCTATATTGTTTTGGATGTTGTTGGTCCAGCCCGGCCTCGAACTCACAGAGATCTGCCTGCCTCTGCTTCCCGAGTGCTGGGATTAAAGGCGTGCACTGGGATTAAAGGCATGAATTTTAGTCTTTAAGATACAGTTTAAACCATTAAGTGAGGCCTGGTCTCCTAAATGGCAATGACAAGTACTGATAGGGAAGCAAAAATGCTGGAGAACTCTTCAGTATTACATGGAATTAGAGATGTCATATGGGTCAGTTTCCTATATAAAGAGGTCAATTATTAAAAGAATAAATAGATTATTTGATTAACATTACATTCATACGGACATGCATGGATAGGTAGTGGAATGGCATAGCACATTTGTTGTAAGAAAATAATTGAAAGCTGGGCGTTGCTGGAGCATGCCTTTAATCCCAGCTCTTAGGATGCAAAGGCAGGTGGATCTCTGTGAGTTCGAGACCAGCCTGGTCTACAGAGCAGGTTCCAGGACAGGCTCCAAAACAACACAGAGAAACCCTGCCTCAAAAAGAAAAGAAAAGAAAAGAAAAGAATTGAAATAATGGGACTCTAGGATCAAGGGCATTGGAACATAGTGTGAATTCAGTGAACAAGTTTGCTTGAGTATTTTACATTGCAGCTCACTAACAGATATAACAGTTACCAATTTCTGAATGATCTACTCTACAAGAAACTGTTTTTTTTCTAGTAGTCTGTAATGATACAGTGTATTCTTATATGGCAGGATATTTGAACCCATGAAATCTCAGAGGCATGGTCACCTAAACAAGGACTGCATTATGACAACACCACAACTGACATGTTGACATGGATGGAGAAAATCATAAAGACCTTTCCCTAATTGCTATCTAGAGAGGGAGAATCAGTCTTTTTACAGGATCAGATAGTTAACCAGTATGTTATCCAATAATAACCAAACATTTATTCCTTAGCACAAACACATAAGAAAAATACTAAATTTATAGAAACAAGATGGAGTAGAAAGAGGGGGAGGTAGAAATGGTATAAATACAGGAATCCCATATGAAATACTCAAAAACTTACATTGTTTTAGGAACTACTAGTATTACAGGTGCGAAAAGACTACAAAGACCTTACTTGTACAGGTTGGTTCAGGATCCCATCTTCCATTGATGCAGACTGAGTGTTCATACTCCTGCTTTCTTCCACATTTGTAACTCACTCTAAAGTTATGATCAAATTCAGTCTTTTTATGGAGTATTGCCTCTATTGCAGTTAATCTTGTCACTTTGCACTTCTCCAGTTGATTTGTTGCTGTATGAAAATAGTTGCATGAAAAATAAAGACAATTACAAGAAGTGATATAGCTACTACATAAAAAGTAAAAATTAAAAATAGCTGTGAAACTATGATTTATACTTATAAATTCTGCCAATAGTATTTCTTAGTAATAAAGATGTTTGGTTGTATTATAAGTTAAATAAGGGGTATATATGGACTTTTTCTATGCCATATATGTGAACTACTTAGTAAAGATGTGAGTTCTTTTTGAAATTGAGAACACTTCAGTATATGTCATGCAAATAATTTGTTAATAATTGGAAATGTAGAGAGAGATTAGGATGGATAGAGCAAATGAAAGTAAGTAATTAGCCAAAGTACGAAAGTTGCTTTATTAAACAATGTTTAAATTATTGACCAGAGTAATTCAAGCACTCAAGACACTTGAGAATTAGTTCCTTCCTTAAGATTGCTGCATAGGAAGGGAACACTTAATGTTGTGTAAAGGAAGTGGTGGGGGAGACCTATAGTCAAGAAAGCATGGTGGCTGTGTGGTTGATTTGTTTCTGAAAGAATTTCTTATTCATTCAGAAAAGCAAAATATATGAAGACTTGTAAGAATGTGGCAGGATAAAAAATGTTTGTACTGTAAATTTAACGTTGTAGTACAGATTTTGATAGCTAGAGAGGATCATCTGAGATGACTACAGGCAGATCAATCATCAGAATAAAATTTCTAAAGTCTGAACAGATGATAAAGCAGAACTTCATAACTTATAATACAGAATGGAGTTTTATGTCTGACATTATATCTGATTTTTCTGCCATACGAAATTTTTAGTTAAACAGTTTTAAAGTAGTGATGGGCACCGGTTTTAAGGCTCAATGGTAGAATTTTTACAAAAAAAGTGTGCTTGTTTAGCAAAAAGAGTCAGGATTAATAAGCAGTAGTGGTATTAGTTTACACGAAAAACTGTTATGGAGTTGGTAGGACTTCTGTATATAAAGAACATAATCATTAGGCAACATAAGTATAAGTGCCTTTTCTAAGAGAGATCTACATTTCCATGGCATAACTGAACACCCAAAACTGCAATGAATAGTAAAGACTGGACACCCATGATGATTTTAGAGTAACGGCACAGGAATACTCTAAGAAAAACCACAGTTTCAGTGGAAAGTATATGTAGGCACCAAATGCTTTCAGCTATTCAATAAATACTCAAACGCTAAAAAAAGGGGGGAGTTATTGTTGACCAAAGTGTAGATGAAAGTGTCTGTCTCACTGGATCCTGCAGCTGTTCAATCCCAAATATGTGCACAGAGGCTTATATTAATGATAAACTGTTTTACGTGTTGCTCAAGCTTATTACTAACAAACTCTTACAACTTAAATTAACCCATAATTCTTATCTATGTTTAGCCACATGGATTGGAACCATTTATCAGTATTAAGGCATTCTCATCTCGTTTTCCTCTAATGACTGCATCTCTGCTTTTTCTCTTCTCCTCATCTGGTTGCCCCCATACTTCCTTTCTGGCTACTGGAAATCACTGTTTTATTAAACCAATATGAGTGTTTACAGTATACAAAAGCATTATCCCACAGCACTGAAGTCACCTATGCCTTCCATCCAATCCCAAACTTTTTGGTATGGCTAGCTTATACAGTCAATCAAAGGATCTAGGACCATACCCACATCACACTGACTTCAGCTTGCAGCATGTAGAATAGAAAGAAGTCTGTGTATATGTCAATAAAGCACTGTAGGCCAATAGGGGGAAGCAAGATAAGTGGGACCAGGAGTCAAGGAGGATTCTGGGAAAGAGAGACAGACTCAGTCATGATGTAGCCTCCATAGGAATAAGAGGTCCTGACCCCTTTCTCCAGTAAGAGAAATACTTAGATGAACAATTTTGGGGTAAATACTTAAGTCAGAGATAGCCAGTAAGAAACCAAGAAAATAGCCAACAGATTTATAATTAATATAGCCTCTTGTGTGTTTATTTGGGACTCATGCGGCTCTGGAACCAGGCTGGTGGGAAGACAACACTCTACAAAGCATTGTAGAAGTTATGACAGAAAAAAATTGCTGTGGCAGAATAGAAAATAGGTAATTTGCACACTTTATTCCTTATCTTTCTGTGACATGTAAGGAGAGTGCCATATAATAACAGCAACGATGTTTTTCTGACATGGTCATATCTTCTTGGATCACATGAAGATTTATAACTGACAACTAGATTTGACTGAAGATAACAAATATTGTCTGATTGTATTAGTAGTTTCCATAAATCTGTAGACATGCATCAAATTATAACAATAAATGTTTGGATTCATATTTGTGGCGCACGCCTTTAATCCCAGCACTTGGGAGGCAGAGGCAGGCGGATCTCTGTGAGTTCGAGACCAGCCTGGACTACCAAGTGAGTTCCAGGACAGCCTCCAAAGCCACAGAGAAACCCTGTCTCGAAAAACCAAAAAAAAAAAAAAAGACTAGATATTTCTAAGATTACAACTACAAAAATATATTGGGAAATATTATTGCAATAAAATATTATACTTCATGAAGTATCAATTTGAGGCACATAACCTTACCAATACACTGAGGGAGCTGAGTCCACCTTCCACTAATGCATGAAACTGACCCACGTCCAATCATTGTGAAGTCTTCTATGCAGGTGAACTCCACTGAATCTCCATGATGATAGGGAGGGACAGAAAACTGAGAAGATCCATGCTCTAGTTCAGGAATATCTCCACATATTCTTTCCTCCTCTGTGGACAGATGTTTCACAAAACTGTATTCAAGATTAAGGCATCACATGAGATATAAAATAGTATTTAAATATTAGCACTTTAATTACCAACACATATTGGCAAGGTTGTCCACTTTCCATCTACACACTGGATTTTACTGGGTCCCTTCAGTAGAAATCTAGGCTTGCAATCATATTCCACCACCTCACCATGACCATATTCTTCTTTCTTTGTTCCCTTAGCTTCCCCATTGAGGAGTTCAGGAGGTTGGTCACATGATCCCACTTGACCTATTGTGGAAATACTGTGTAAGTGTAAATGAAAATGCCCATCTTACAGTCTAACACTCTAGAACATGGAAAAATTTTAAAAACTGTCTTCCCATATCACTTTTTATAACACTTTTCTAAATAAGTAATATTATACTAGACTCACATTTTCAACTGTAATATGCCTGTTAAAATAAATTGAAAGCATATTGAGGGCAGAACAAAGTATGATAAACATGATACCTTGAAGATGAATGCAAACCAGTCAGCAATTGTAGTTGTATCAATTTCATAATTTTACTATTTTCTGGCAATATTTTATCATATAGTTACCACTTTATTGAAAAATATCATTATTGTACTTAACATCTATTAATGTTTCATTTTTTAATATACAATATTTAATTACTAAAAATCTGTTTTCATAACATTTGGAAAGATTCTATGCCAGCATTAATGGTAATCTAGATAAAAAGAAAGAAATCTTTGTAGTCACAGCTGTCATGCTTGTATGTATAAACATATTCATACACATTTTAAGAAGCAAGTTAGCCTGGAGTGGGTGTGTATTAGTCACACACCACATAGCTTGATCATGGCTGTCTATGTATATGCTTAAGACTACAGACATAATGGGAGACTGGGGAATATTAGGAGATGGAATATAAACTTCTGATCATATTTCATCAAATGTAAAACAGATACTGACCTTTACATGTTGGGAAACTAGGGGACCATCCAAAGTGGTAGCATTGTACTGAATCTGGTCCAACTCTGTGTCCTCGTCGGCAAGAAAATTTCAACAAATCTCCAACTTTATATTTTTCTTTCTTGGGACTGACAACTAAGTGTGCTTCTATTAATGGAATGCTACATTCTCTTTCTGTAAAGTAAAATAATCATAATATACAATTAATTAATGTTAAGTAGGTTTTATATATCTCAAATACAGTCACAGGGAAGCATCAGTTACCCTCCTCCTCATGAAAAATGCTGCATATTAATTTTGATATAATACCCAATCTATACAGAAGTCTCTGAGAAATCTAAGATGGTGCAATATATTGTAAAATATTTTTTCAGTTTAATATAATTGAGAAAGTATATCATATAAAATCAGTTCTAATGCATATGAACTTAGTAACATATAATTAGTATATTTTACATTAATGAAAGTAAGAAACATGTGCAAAACATATTACTCAAACTACTTCATTGTACTTCCATTTCTAATTAATAACTAATTGCTAATTATTCAGACTCAAATTAGGGATGTGTGATATTTGTCATTAAAAGTAAAATTTTCTTCAATATTTGGCATTATTTTTACAAAAAATAACTTAGATATTTTTCTTCCTTGATATTTCCCTCCTCACTAGTTTATAAATTAACGTTCACAATTTTAAAATTAGGGTGATACATATAAGATAATTCATACTTTCAAAAGTCAATTGTTAGTATGTAACCAGCAACAGATTTTAAAGAAATGCTTTTAAACTGGTATTTAAAAATTTATAGTGTGGATAGAGATTCAACTCAGAGGAATGGGACATCCTTAGTGTATGAGACCCTTGGGAACACTCGCCAAATACTTCCTTTATTCTAATATTGAGTTTTAGACTAACCACAAACATTCTATTATACAATTACAATAATTTAGAGATGTTCTTTTTGTATCTGTGTCTACGTATTTTTCGTAATTTTATAGAAATTATCATAATACTCTGTGTTACAGTGAAAAATACCATTTTTTCCATTTTATATTTGTAATTCTAGGACTGATCCTTAGGTTATGAGCTAGCCAGGTATTGTCCAACTCAACTAATATTCCTACATCTGCATTCTGTTTTAGTATTTCATTGTATTCTAGAGAACCATGATTCATAATTTTATACTGCTTATAATCAGAGAGAAATTAATTATTTTTTTATTTTGATTTTTTTTAAATTGGAGATACTTGTTTCTCTTTCTTTATGATAGGTCTTCCTACGTAACCCAGTGCTCAAGACACCCCAAAACCAAGTGCTCAGCAAAAATATTTATTTGTCCCAGAGGGAAAAAGGGCAAGAAATAAAGAGACAAAGACAGGAGAAAGAAGATAGAGGACAAGGGAGAAAGGAAAGGGAGCAAGGTAAAGTGAGAAGGGGTATTTGTCCTAGAGAGAAGACACACATGGCACCTAGGAATATGGCAGCTTGTAAAGGTAGACCCCTTGCTAGGATGAGGTGTTTAATTTTAATTGGGTCTATTAATTAGGTGAACCAAAGAGGACTTTTGATTGCTGAACTCCAATATTTGATAGCTGGACCTAGGTGGTCAAGTCTCAGGAGAAGATCCTGGAGGTTAGTTATAGGAATATAATTTAATGTTTTTTAGGCAGGCATAGGCAATTGGAGAGAAGGGCAAAGCCTGGTAGAACCATGTTTGCCACCACCAGGCTGGCTAGAGTCACTTCACCTGGATTGTTGTGGAATTCAATACCCTCAGTCCTCTACCTTGCAAGTCCTAAAATTAGAGGTGTGTACCACACACAGACATCCTTAGTGAATTCTGCTTGAGGCCCTTGAACTGCCAATCAAGTTTCACAGTCTCTGCTGTTATCCTTTTAATGTTTAATTTTTACTATTCCAATATTCCTATCTCCTCTTCCTTCACGCTGTTCATGTTTGAATTACTTTGTTTCACAATTCAAATCATAACTTTGGTAATTGAGTCTTAGTTTAAATTATTAAAAGCTTGAATTTATGATAATAAAACAATTATACTTTAGTCAGAGATGTGATATACACAGGTCATATGAAGGAATCCTGATTTTAAGATACTTTGATTTTTTTTGAAACAGGAACTTAATATCCTGACACACGAACTGTCCTGTGCTTGCTCCTAAATGCTGGAATCACAAGCATGTGTCATCTACATCTCATGAATATGTTATTTACAAATAGAAAATCAGGGAAGTGAGGTGGCTCAGTCAGTGCTAATGCTGACCTCCAAGTCTGGTGACCTAGGTTCAATCCCTGGGAATGCCATGGTGAACAGAGGGAGCTGCCTATCATCGACTTTCTGATATCTGCATAAATATGGTGTGTGTTAGTTCTCAAACTCAGGATGAATGACTAACTCAGGTGCTTATTTAACACATCAAAGCAGATACTGACCAGTCCCTCTCAGCATCACCAGCACTTGTTACAGGGCCTGGCTCCTCTCAGCACTTCTCAGCACATCCCCCACCCGACCCCTACCTCCAGCCTCTCCAGACCCTGAGTTTCACTGTCCTTGTCCCAGTTGCTCTTCCATATACAACTCAGCCATTTTGAATATGCGATCTCTTTCCTTCAGGATTTCTGGGTTCCCAGGTACTCTCTTTGCTCAGTTTCTTCTCTTCTCGTCTTGCTCTCTCACACCTCTCATTGCCTGGTTCAGTCTGGATTCTTCCAGATTCCTCTGGCTGTGTTCTCCCTCATATCTACAATAAACATTCTCCTCCACACATATCTAGGAGCAGTCAAGTCCTCAGTGCTTTTATTTTTCCACTCAGTGTGCACACCTTCATAGACACACACATGCATGCATGTACACACACAGGATAAATAAATGAATGTGATGCAATAATAAAAACAATATGATCATCTTTGACATTTTTCTTCCTTTCTCCTAGATTACATTAAATAAGAAGGAAAATTCTCAGAAATTCATTTTTAAGCAACATATAAATATTAAGTTTTATTTTGTAAAATTCAATACAAAGTAGTACTCACCATAGCATGAGGGTTTATCAGACCATCCATCATAATTGCATGTTATGGAGCCCTTGGTATCTCTATATTTGTTTTCATATCCAGCATGACATTCATAGTCTAATTTGTCATTGAGTTTAAACCATGTGCTATTATTTTTAGTTCCAGCATTATCAAATATAGGCCTATCACAAGACTCTAATGCAAAATAAAATGGAAGACTTCATTTCTAATGTGTCAGAGGACAATCTTAATAATTTCCACGAGAACAAAATATTCATAGGTTAATATATGTTAACAAATTAAATATTGTATAGAAACATCTTTAGAGAACCAACAGCAAATCATTTTGCTGAAACAATCATTACATTGTAATGTATTATATTGTATTTATAACCTCAAATAAGTTTTTGTAAAACACTATTTTAAAAACAATTTCTCAGCTCAATTTTGCTGATATTTATCACATACCACAAATAAATAAACACATGCAATATATTTTTGGTGCAGTATAATAGCATTTTGTGAATTCAGGTCACATATTTAGTAGTTATAATGACCCATAAAATATAGAAAAGTTGATATTCTTGCATTTATTGTATTGTTGCAAGTGTTTTCTCTTTTACAATAAGAAAATCCAATAAAGTCTTCTTAATTATAAGGTAATATGAATGAATATTACATGGGATAATCTTTATTGTTTTTCCTTTAATTGGATCCTGTAAACACACAATAGATTTCAAAAAAGAAAAATTAAAAAATTAGTCACTATCTTCAATTTCCTTTTCATTTAAGGTGTATTTAATAGTTATTAAAAATACAACTGGCTTGCTTTCTCATAAACAAGATAAGCTGAACTAATTATTATTCTTAGAAAACCTCATGAAATCTAAAATAAGGAAAACTTTCAAAATAGCAAAATTTGCTGCTATCTTGATACATTTCTTTCTTTCCAATAGGAAAACATTCAGGGAAATTTCCTAAGAGGGAAGCATTCTGAGATGGCGCTTAACAGATAGTGTTAAATACATAGTATAATGTTATTACATATTCTGGGGTTTAGACCAGGGAGATAAATATTTACTGGAAATATGGAATACCATACATCTAGGAACAAAGGTTTGATATTCAGGAAGAGCTTTTCAAAAGGCAGGTGGTCAAAGAATCTTTCACTAGATTTAAAATTATATATTTTTTTCATTGAAAAGGGAAATGAACTGATATTCTACAGTACTGAAATGAGTCCAAATGAAAAACAAATGCTGGTGTATATTTTTCCATGAAGCTTAAAACTCATCTTTCAAATGAAATAACATCAGCCACCTCACAGGAGAAAAAGTCAAACTCATACATCACCAATATAATGGCAGCAATATGATGAAGTACTCACTGATGCATGAGGGTTGAGCTGACCATCCATTTTGGAGGCAGGTAATTGGTCCTGATGTTTCTCCATTCAATGTTACATATCCCTGTTTGCACCTATACTGTGTTGTTTTATTTAAAGCATATGTAAGATCAGATTCAGAAAGAAACCCATTCTCAATTTCTATATCTAATTTTGAACATATCTCTAAAAGGGAAAAAAGTAAGAAAAAATGAGTGTATGCTCAGTAGTAAAAATAATAATAAAATATTAATTTACACATGAAGTCATGGTTAATCAAAATAATTCACATTACTGGGCTTAAGAAAAACAACCATACTTTAAAAGATAAACCATAATCCTTTGTGAAATTTTTTTCTAACAAAGCAAGATTTAGATTAATCATAAAATATTATATTTGTCCAAGTGAATCCATAATCCTCAGAATGTCAACACTCTTAAAAATATGTTTTCTTTTCTTGGGCTTACTTTAAACCTCAGAGAAAATTGGTTCATTTAGATATATAGAACTCATTTACCCAATTTTAGTTCCTATATTTGGGTTATTATCTTAGAAAATACTAGTGTTACAGACTACAGTACCAAGAATTTTGTTGTTGTTGTTGCTATAAAGCTGTTGGCCTTTAGCTAAAGTTTCTTATTCTTAATCATTAACCCATGTCTATAAATCTAAGTATCTCTACGATTCACTAACCAATAAAAGAAACATATACACAGAAGGACATTCCCCATCATCTCCTCTTTTCTGTCTAAATGAAAAGAAGGGTTTTAACTTTGACACAGTAAAATACATAACAAAACAGCTATTAAGGAAGAACTTTAATTATAATATTTAGTTCATAAACATTAGGAAGATTTAAAGAAAATATTCTATCATGTATCCTATCATTGTGAGTCTAAAGTCTTATATGTAACTTATCTGTCTTCAACTCCATCTAAAACCACAGAAGGATAATATATAAACACTAGAATTGACAGACACATCTCGCTCCCTAGACAGTCACCCAAAGTTCTTCTGTAACTTTGGTACATCCAACTTCGGCCCATAGGCCACAGTGTGTCTAGCAGAATTTTTAGCAAAGCAGGAAATTTTAAACTATGCTCATGCATTGGCAGTTTGTCACTCATTTTTCTATGTGTTCTGCAGAATGTCTGGCAGACTGTTTCATGAAACAGAAACACTTTAGGACTTTACATCAAATTCACGAGTCACTTTCCTATGGGTAATGCATGTCTAGTTTATCAAATAACCCAGGCAAGAGCAGTTTCTTTCCCAAATGGCAAATCTTGCCATGTTGAAGGCAAAATCCATATTGAGATTCTTCGATGCCCATTTCCTTCCTGACATACATAATTGGTGTGTGTGCCGGGAGCAGTTGTGTCTCACTGTCATGAAAACCCTAAACCATTTTAAATGCCATTTTCTGTAGGTCTTTGAAAGGTTTGAAGACTATCTATCTATCTCAAATACATTTCTGTATATCTAGAAAACCTAACTAACCTCACTATAATTTTTGACTATTATAGGTTCCTATATAAAATCTGTATTTAATTATGCATTACATTTTAAAAGATATGTATAAACACAATACCTAAACTAGAGGAGAAATACACCTATCACAAAATTGACCTTAAATTTGTATCAATAAATGAAAATCCACACAAATATAAAGTATTCATTTCTATATCATATTCCCTTTTTTACATTAAAAAGAAATTGGCTGTGATCATTAACCATGTGTAACCAACCCCATTTAAATGAAAACAAACATTTATAAACAATATTTGGGAATGTGGGCATTGTTTTCTTCAAACTGCATCCTGCTCTTTGGGGACACTGCCTTAAGGATCCTAAGAAGACGCAGAAATCCTAGATATAGTGGTCTGTGGCTATATCATCTCAGCTGTTTTGGGATTTTGGATTGACTGGGCCACTGCTTCAGGGGGTCTTGCTTGACCAAACCATGTTAGTCTGGAAGGAATCCACAGCTTTTTATTTTCTGGGGAAGCACAAATATAATCTCTTTTCCAAAGTAAAATATCCTTATACTTAAATTTTGAAGTCAAGGCATTTTTTTAAATATTTGAGTTGGATTGATCCAGCAGCATTTATTTCAGCAGTTGTTATTTCCTCAGCAGTCAAACATTTCAAAGTCAACACAATATCATACAGTATCCAGACTGTGTATTTTCCATCTTTAAGAGATTTTTATTGCCCTATTTCTTTTACTTTTATTTTTTCCCTTTTTTTATAAAGGGTTTCTCTGTTTAACTTTGGATGCCTTTGAACTTACTCAGTACACCAGGCTGGGCTTGAAGTCACAGAGATCTACTTTCCTCTGCTTCTGAGTGATGGGATTAAAGGCATGTGCCACCACTGCCCAGCTTCTTTCTTTCTTTCTTTCTTTCTTTCTTTCTTTCTTTCTTTCTTTCTTTCTTTCTTCCTTCCTTCCTTCCTTCCTTCCTTCTCTCTCTCTCTCTCTCTCTCTCTCTCTCTCTCTCTCTCTCTCTCTCTCTCTCTCTCACTCTCTCTCTTTCTACACAAATTTTCATGTTTCTTTTTCTTTGCCAAAGACTACATATAATTTTTAAAACACTGTAAGCCTTTTAGAGGTTTTTCTTCATCTGAATAAGTCTTTACAGAATATGTTTATCTTTTTTGGCCACGAGTCTTTTATATGCTAAACAACGTTGTTAAAATTAAAGCCTAGGCTGTTTTAGCCACTGTTTTTCTATGATGGCTGGGGTACTTTACCACCAGCACTGGGAGCTGTGCTCACTGCCTTGACTCTTAAACGTTTATAAATAAGATCTAAATCTGCCAGAGAGCATGCTGATTATTTCTGACCCCAGCTTATCCTACACACAATTGTTAGCAGGGGACATCTTAAAAGTCTTGCAGTTTTTGCCACTTATGCTGAGTCAGGAAGGCTCCCTTAAGCAATTTAAACAGATCTAAAATCCATAATGAAATAGGAACATTCATAATAAGTCTCCTAGCCAAAAAAGTCAAGGTCCAGATAGCTTCAGTATAGAATTCTACCAGAAATTCAAAGAAGAGCTAATATCAATACTCCTTAAATTGTTTCACACAATAGAATGAAAAGGCTCATTGCCAAACTCTTTTTATGAGGTTACAATCACCTTGATACCCAAGGCACAAAAAGACACAACTAAAAAAAAGGACTACAGACTAATATCCCTCATGAATTTTATGCAAAAATACTCAATAAGATACTGGCAAATCAAATCCAAGAACCCATGAGAGAAATCATCCACCATGATCAAGCAGGCTTCATCACAGTGATGCAGGGATGGTTCAGCATATGAAAATCCATCAGTATAATCCACCATATAAACAAAGTGCAAAAGAAAAACCACATGATCATCTCACTAGATGACGAAAAAGCTTTTGACAAAATTCAACACCCCTTCATGATAAAGGTCCTGGAGATATCAGGGATGAGAGGAACATACCTGAACATAATAAAAGCAACATACAGTAAAACAGCAGCCAACATTAAACCAAAAGCAATTCCTCTAAAATCAGGAAAAAATACAAGGCTGGCCACTCTCTCCATACCTCTTCAATACTGTACTTGAAGTTCTAGCTAGAGCAACAAGACAACAAAAGGAGATCAAGGGGATAAAAATTAGAAAGGAAGAAGTAAAACTTTCACTATTTGCAGATGATATGATACTTTACATAAGTGACCTGAAAAATTCTACCAGGGAACTCCTACAACTGAAAAACACTTTCAGCAAAGTGACAAGAATCAAAATTATCTAAAAAAAATCAGTAGCCCTACTGTATACGGACCGTAAATGGACTGAGAAAGAAATCAGAGAAACATCACCCTTTAAAATCTCCACAAACAACATAAAATACCTTGGGGTAACGCTAATCAAACAAGTAAAAGACCTGTATCACAAGAATTTTTTTTCTTTAAAGAAAGAATTAAAGAAGATACCAGAAAAAGGAAAGATTTCTCATGCTCTTGGATAGGCAGGAAAAGATAGTAAAATGGCAATCTCGCCAAAAGCAGTTTACAGATTCAATGCAATCCCCATCAAACTATAGGCACAATTCTTCACAGACCTTGAAAGAACAATAATCAGTTTTATATGGAAAAATAAAATACCCAGGATAGCTAAAACAACCCTGTACAATAAAGGAACTTCTGGAGGCATCACCATCACTGATTTCAAACTTTATTATAGAGCCATAGTCCTGAAAGGGGCTTGGTACTGACATAAAAATAGACAGGTAGACCAATGGAATCTAATTGAAAGCCCTGATATTAACCCACACATCTATAAACACCTGATTTTTGACAAAGAAGCTAAAATCGCACAATGGAAAAAAGAAAGCATCTTCAACAAATGGTGCTGACATAACTGGATGCTGGCATGTAGAAGACTTCAGGTAGATCCATATCTATTGCTATTGCACAAAACTTAAGTCCAAATTGATCAAAGACCTCAACATGAATGCCACATTAATTTTATTTTTATAAGCTAAAGAACATTTCCTTTTGAAATTTACCAGATGAAGACATATTATATGAAAATTAATTTTAAAAAGTATAAAATATATGTTTTGTAGTTACTGGATTCCTTCCTAGAATACATATTTACTTATTTATGGATAAGTAGAAAGTCAAAGAAGAAAACATTAAGTATTTTATATAAATGCCACTGAAAACACAAGACAAAACATTTAGGAGGTAACACTGTGTAGTGAAGTCACAGAAACACCATGAAAAAGCTGGAAAAGAGTTAAGAATGAAAGTCAAAAAATGTTTTCCCTTTGTATACTTAGAAAAAGGTAAATAGCAACATTAGTACAAATTTTGAAAGCCTACAACGATGACGGAAGATCAAGCAGAAGTCAGACAAGGGAAAAGTAAGGAAGTTATATGACCTTGTAAGGGAAGGTAATAAAATTATAATTAAAAGAAAAACAGGGTGTCAGACTGAGAACAATGAAGAAACAGTGGCTTATGGTTAAAGATTACCAATGCTAGGTATTGGAAGATGAAGAGCACTGGACTAGAGTTCCAGAGTAGCAAAAGTTTAATTAGCTCCATTACCATTATGTGAGGAGGAAGTTTGAAGAAAACAACATAGTGAGAAAGAACCCAACCAGGAAAATATTGGGTATTTGTAGTCATATAATAATACAT